AAAAAAAAAAAAAAAAAAAAAAAAAAAAAAAAAAAAAAAAAAAAAAGAGAGAGAGAAAATGAAAAACCCATTAATTGTACATGTATATATATTTATATCTCAAGAGAACATTCAAAATAATAATTCTGGCTTCCAGTCAATAATTGAGGTCCCTGCCCCCTTCTTCTTTTTTATTCCATAGTTTTATGGCAATTGCACCAATATTATCATCAACCATGAACAACAACAATGAAGATGAACATCAAGACAGCGTGAGCAAGAAGCAAGTCTACGTGGATAACCATCGTGATGATGATGCTGATGATAAGGAGGAATCGGAGATGGTAATGCCCGGATTCAGATTCCACCCCACCGAAGAAGAACTTGTCGAGTTCTACCTTCGACGTAAGGTCGAGGGCAAGCGCTTCAATGTCGACCTCATCACTTTTTTAGACCTTTACCGCTATGACCCTTGGGAGCTTCCTGGTATTAATTAATTTTTTTTCTTATATATATATATATATATATATATATATATATATATATCATTTTATATCTTATGTGTATTTGCTACTTATTTTCCTTAAACTTCTAAAATCAACCCTTTTAATTATTTTACCTAGGGTTCCTCATATAATTTTCAAATCTTTATTTCAAATAAGCAATTTTTTTTAGTTAGTTTTATATAGAGAAATGAATTTACATGTCCTTTCTTGAATTTCTTTTTTGTTTTTCTTTCTTTTGTTTGTTTGTGTGTGTTGTGTAGATTAGTTTGGAGTAATAAGAGAGTACACGTATAATCTATATGTACCTCATTTTTCAGATGATGATAACGAGAATTTTATTTCTACTTATTCTAATTTATTATGTTGGTTTGTTTTGTTTTTGTTTTTTTTTTTTCAGCTTTGGCAGCTATAGGGGAGAAGGAATGGTACTTTTATGTGCCGAGGGATAGGAAGTACAGAAACGGAGATCGGCCAAACCGTGTGACAACTTCCGGTTATTGGAAGGCGACCGGTGCCGATAGGATGATCAAAAGCGAGAATTTACGGTCAATCGGCCTGAAAAAAACCCTTGTTTTCTACTCGGGTAAGGCCCCCAAAGGTATAAGAACAAGTTGGATCATGAATGAGTACAGATTACCACTGCATGAAACCGAACGCCTCCAAAAGGTATATATGAGTTCACTCATTTCAGCTTTATCTCAATCATCTTTACTTGGCTATGTTATGGATCAAGATTTGTTATTCAATATTAATCCTTGCTAGAATGAAATTGTTCTTATTTTTGTCCCTTTTTTTGGTTGAAGAAACTTTAATAATCTTCAGCTTCTTTCCTCCATGAGATTTTCTGATTTTACAGAAACCCAAGTTCTTGATCTGTAAAACAAGTGAAGATTGTTAATGACTTAAGTTGGTGTTTAGCCATTTGATTTATTTTTATTTTGTTACTAGGAAAAATTTTGATTGTTTAATTTGATATTGAATCATATATTGTGTAATCATTAATCCCTTTAACATATTTATGTAAATAAATAAATTTAAATTAGTGCAATGATCAATTTATGACAAGCCAACAAAATCAAACTTGAATGTTTTCTTTTTTATGACTCATGAGGTTCTTGAGTAAATGCTCTCACATCAGGAGCATGAGAAACGCATGACACTTTTTCAAAATTTCATAAACTCATTAAAGTATATTCAAAATATAATATATTTCATGATTCACTGATATTATATTTTATACAAATCTCATTAATCTAATAGAATGATACATGAAAGGGCACAAGAGATTGATCACCTTAAAAACACATGTAACAAGAGTGTACTATTAGCAATGTAGCTAGGATGTCAGAATAAGTTTTGTCAACTATAATAACTTGTCCTATATTTTACTGATTTCACATTTTCATATTTTCTCGGATTAACTTTCCACAGGCGGAAATTTCTCTATGTCGGGTGTACAAACGAGCCGGAGTCGAAGACCACCCTTCCTTACCCCGCTCCCTACACACAACCAGAGCTTCATCATCATCATCATCGTCGTCAAAGCCCTCACAAAGATACTTACCATCACAAACCCTTCAAAAACCCGCGCAAAACATAATAAGTTTCCAACCGAATCACGGAAAATCTCCACTACAAGACGATGGATTAATAATAGCCGAGTCAAGCCCGAGCAGCAGCACCAACGATCATAACATCAACAACCCTTTTTCCCTCCAAAACCACAATTCTAATTACACCACTAATAAAAGTCCATTAGTCCCAATGACTTCAATTCTTGAAAATGATCAAGCAATGGTTTTGCTCCAATCCAAACAAACCCCTATTCACACAAACCCTTCCTTGTCCCAAAATTCTTCCTTCCAACCAGTTGATGATCTCCAAAAGCTAGTGAACATTAGTAACAATAATTACTCGCAACAGCTCGAAAATCCACAGTATCTTAACAATGGCGTCCCAAATTTTCTTTCGCATTTTGCGACTAATTTGCAGCCTCAGTCTCAGAATGCCGTGCCAATGCCCGGGTCGTTGCAGGCGGCTTTTCAGGATAGATTGTGGGATTGGAATGGGATTTCAGAGGCAAGCAAAGATTTCAACAATCTTTTCAAATAAAGTGATCATATGATTCATATGCATGTACTTAGCTTATATTAGATAGGTGCATTGTTTTTTTTTTTTTTT